CCTGAAAACCTCCAGGGATGGGGAATCCACCACCTCCCTGGGCAGCACATTCCAATGCCTGAGCACTCTCTCTGTAAAAAATCTCGTCCTAATATCCAACCTAACCCTCCCCTGGCAGAGCTTGAGTCTGTGCCCTCTTGTCCTACTGCTGAGTATCAATAATGTGGTTCTTCCTTTATGGACTATTCAAAAATGCCAATAAATCTTTGTATTTGCTTTTATAATCTCAATCTATATTTATATATAAAAGTCAGCAAACTCAGAGCACAGTTTAAAAATAAAACCTTGAGCAAAAATATAACTGGGATGAAATCAGGTTTTAAAAGACAAAAAACATGTTCTTACGATTTTCCAGAGATCTTGAAAGACCCTTAGTAGACATGAGTTAATGAAAATCTTTTACAGGATGACAAACAAGAGGCTTCACCCTTTGTAAATATGACAGAGACCAAGGAACAGTGCTGAGAACACATCTCTAAAGGATTATATTTGATTTGGATCCTCCTGACAAAACTGGGCTCCAAATTCAGCGTGCACTTACGGCACTCCGCAGGCTCATCCGATCCATCTCCACAGTCATCCACTGTGTCACATTTCCACCAGAATGGAATACACTTGTCAGTTTTGCAACGGAACTGTAAGAGGAAGGGAAGGAGGAAGAAAAGCTTTGATGTGAACATTTCTTTATCTTTTTCAAAGCAGTAATAGTACAGTTTATGAAAAACGAGGTTCACTGCTTAATGGAACAATGACTTTGTCACCTCTGGCTGGTAATTTCATAAAAGTAATATTTTAAATATTCTAATTTTTGGACATTATTTGCACCGATATTTCCACTGATAAAATCATTGTAGTAGCTACTTTGCTATGGTGACTTGCAGAGCCCCAACATAAACAACTTCTTGCATTTTGATGCATTCTATGATTTCCTTCTTCGAGATCTTATTCCAAACAAACACGAAACCACTTCTTGCATTTTGATGCATTCCATGATTTCCCTCTTCGAGATCTTATTCCAAACAAACACTTCAATTCTCAGGTTTTATTGCAGACAGTTAAAGCAGACAATGCAATTTTTTCCAGACCAACCCAAACACCCACAGTTACAGCAAAGGGCCTTAACATGCAGAGTTGTGTACAGCATTGCTTATACTGTTTGAGTTAAATGAGAAAAGCAAAGCCTTCCAGCCTTTCAGAAGGATAAAAGTATCTATACAAAAGAAGAAAAATCATTCATAAGATCCTGGAAGTGCCTTTTCTCTGAGCTCAGGCAACACTGTACCTTTGTTCTGACTGAAAGAAGAATGCAAACAAAACACAGTAGAAATTACTTGATCAGTCTTTTAGGGATAAACCTAAAATCAGAATTCATGTGGCCAATGCAAGGAGAAAAAACTGGACAGATTATCAGCAGCTTGTTAAGAAATTTTGGATTTCCTAAATGGCATCTGTATGAGCATAGAAAGGAAGGAAAGCAACAGATTTAGAAGTGCATCTCATTTTCTGACTCAGCAACATTTATTTAATTTCTTTACATATTAAAATAATTGATTACTCAATAAAACTGTATTGAAAAGTTACGTTAAATTTGGTGTCTTAGCTCAGTTTTATCTTGTCTGCCAAGAAAATTTAGGATTCCATGGCTATTTATGCAGTGGAAACTACAGTTGGAGCTACACATACCACCTTGAGGGATGTGCTGTGTAGCAGGATGGGTTGAAAAGCAGCTGTTTTCAACAGTTAAACTGCTTCACACAGATATGCAGCTTAGAGGAGCTCAGTGGGATGCCTCCAAATATAAGAGACAAACACAGAAACTCAGACAATTCTCACTCTTAGTATTTTCTACTGCTAGCATAACCTTCCTTACTATTTTCTACTGCTAGCATAACCTTCCTGCTGCTTAATTGTTTTAAGGTGTCAGTCCTGCTCTGCTCACCACAAGGGACTTCAGGCTGTTAAAATGACATTATGAAGTTATTTCCAGGAAATGGGCACTAAGTCTTGAATGCTATTTTGCTCTGCATAAAAGACACTTGCATTTCCTTCTAAACTGAAGCACCAGACACCCAGCAAAATCAGGAAATTGAATCATATGGATCTGGAATAGTTGGAGCTGTGGTGTGGTAGAGTCTGATGTGATGTGTACCAAACACATTTCTCATGTCAGAATAGTCACCAAAAGACAACCTGTAGATGGGCAAGGGCAGGGTATCAAACATCAAATTCCTTCTCATCAAAAGGAGCCAATGGAGGGTATGTTGTTAAGAGCAATTGCATCATAGGACAAGCTCTGTTGAACAGCACCATCTTAAAATCTTAAGCAGAAAAGTATATTTTTGCCACTGATCTCTGTATCTGATGCCATCAGAGAGATGAATTATCAAAGAGTTAACAGATTTCAAAAGTAGAAGAAAATGATGAATAACCAATGTCAACTTGTAACTGTCTGTCTGAAGCTGCTTCTTTTATTTAACTCTGCTCTCCATCCACAAGCAATAAATATTGTTCCTGGAGGATCCAAGATGTGATGCTATCCTTCAACTCAGACCACCAATGAATTATTTAGACAGGAATAGAGCCACTCAATCAACTGCTAGCATATAAATTCAATGTGGAATAAGCTTCCAGTGTCATTTACAGAAGATTTAAAAAACAGAAAAAGGCCAAAATTGTCCCTTTTTTTTTTTAATCCAAACAAATTTGAGAAGCTAAATGCAAGGGAGAAATAGGTAAGAAACATCTCATTTTACAAGTGTTTTGCACCTTTTCTTTTGTTCATTGCCTAGTGGGAAGTAACAACCAGGCAATTTAAACAGAAAAGACATGATGAACATCATAACATCATACCAAACACCACTTTAAGGGAACAGAGGAAGGCAGTGGGAAGGTTTCTGAAATAACAATATTATTTGAATGAAAATGTACATCATTTATTAAGATGATCACTGTTCCCTAAAAAAATATGAGTAAAACCCTTAATGATGCCACTGTTCCCTAAAAAATATGAGTAAAACCCTTAATGATGGAAATCATAATCCAGCATCATGATGTAGAACATTGTTAGAGGTCATTAGCACACACCTAATAAAAGTGGCCAACCAGAAAAGTGTACTAGTAATATTTAAAAGACCATATATACTGTGACAATCAACAAATTGATTCTCTGAGTAGAATAATCCAAAGACTACTATCAAAGTTGTTGCCTTAGAAGAAATCAGTATGTTCTACTCAGGCGCTTTGTATTTTAAGAGAAAGAGCCAAATATTTATTTCAAGTAGTAGGAAATACACCTCAGTGCTTTAATGAGGCAATCTTTAATTAATTGCACATTTTACACTTTCCATTTCAGTTACTGGATAGTTTTTAATACAAGGGTATCATTTACCTACGTAGCTAACTGGACTGAGCTTGTTTATTTGTATTAATGCAAAGTTCAGTCACGCATGGATACTCCCAAATCATTGTTACATACACTCTGTATTTTTATATATCATACAAATGTTTTTTCAAGGCAATTTTTATGGGTTTAGTAGCTGCATTTGTTCTAGTGACTGGCAGAAACATCAGCATTTGAAAGCGAACAAGTTCTGCATTCTCTGGAAAAAAAAGACATTTGCAAGTCTGTTTTCCACTAATAGCCTTGAAGATGAAACACTTTAAGTGCATCCATGAGTTACCCATAGTATTCAGCTCCTTTGACTGATGCTCCCACATTTCAGGGGTGGCAGCATTGACTCTGTAAAAACACAGGGAAACATTGGAAAATTGAAACCCTGCTCCCCCTGCCCCACACAGACACATACCTGACTGGCTGTGCAGTTGGACAGACACGTCTTGTTATCTGCAGCAAGGTAGAAGTTAGTGGGACAGGCACATGTGTACATCTTGTCAGGGGCCAGGAGGCACAAATGACTGCAACCACCATTGTTTAGTGTACACACGTGTTTAGACACTGTGGACAGAATAGGAAAAGGCTATCAGAGCCTATTATTTTGTACACTTGAGGGTATGTGCTTTAGAAAGGAAGAAAAAATGTCTTACATGTACTATCCTTACAAGGACACAAATCAAAAATCCATAGAGGGAAACTTTTGTCTTTAAGCTATTATCTGTTGTATGCAAAAAGTAATTATTGCTATGGATCTAGGTTCAATGCTGAAACGATGAGAGGATGAAAAAAACAGTTTCTTTTTTATAATGAGGGGAAAAAATTAGCTTATCTAGGTCAAGTGCCAAATCAAATCAAATAGTATTCAGTTACAATTCAAATAGAGGCAGATCAGGAGATCAGACATGATCACACCACCTACATTCTCTGACACTGCCTCAGTCCAACAAGTCTCTAAACAGCAGTATTCTTCTGCATTGTTAACACTCTCTTGCTTCTCACAGATTAAGCTTAAATGTTTACATAACACACTGTTCCCATCTTAAAAACCGGCAATTTGTACTCTGCAATGCAACTAAACAGTTCTGGACTTTCAGTCAATGTCTGGGTTAATGTTTAAGCACATAAACTGATATCTCACCACTGAACAAGATATGTTACAGCCATTTAATAGCAGATATGCTCAGAACATTAATCACGGATTTATGTTTAAAAATACTAATCTGAAAACTTGCACAAAACAGAAATAAAAATAAATCACTGCAGATAAATGAGTGCCCATTACCTCAGCACCTGGCTACTAAATACATCAACATGCTGTTTGGAAAGCATAGACAGAATCATTACCATCAGGTTGCCTGTAAGAATGATACACCTGGATGTCTGTTATGGTGTGCCATGAGTTAATCAGTGCCAGCCTGTCTGATCCAGAGGTTTTGTGGGCACGGCTGAGCGATTTGGTTTTCCCATCTGTCCAGTAGATGTAGTCTTCAAACAGTGTTAGTGCAATCACCCCTGGAATATCTTGATTAGGGACTGTAAGAAGGGATGCTGAGATTAATGTTCACTCTTGAAAGACTGCCACTTAAAATATTCCATACTGCATGGCTTGACAGATACAACTGCTATATAATGTCTTGAGAATAATTGTCGTGACAATACGTCAAACCTAGAGGGTCCTTTATTACCAGTTACAATAAGGATGGATGGAGCATGAACTCTGCTTGCTTGGAATTAGTTGGCCCAATCAGTGTTAAGGAAATGAAAGAATTTCAGTTAACAAAAATCATTTCCAGATTGTAAACCAAAGACATGTTAAGCTTTAAAGTAGTACATAACATAAACATACCTTTACCTACTTTTTGCATAAGTCAATATTAATTCAACCTTTTAGTGCAATAAAAGTCATTAGAAAACATCCAAAATGTTAAGACATACATCTCCAGATGCTGTGTTTAACACACTTTAAGATAATTAATAGCATTTTATTTCATCGAAATATGCTGACAAGAAATGGGGAAAAAAGGTCTTGCATTAAAATAAACACATTAGTATGAGGGGTTATTGCTTGATCCTAGCATCACCAACCATACAAGTGAATAAAATAAACAAAGTGATGATGATAGACCATTGTTACAGTATCACAAAACTATGAGCCAACATCATTTGCAAAAGGATAGCAGGACTAAAGAGTAAAAAAATCTTTGGAGCATTCTTTATCCTGCTGTATACTATTCAATCTCAAATTATTTGTTCTTGGTAAACATTAACTGAACTCTTTGTGGGTTTTTTTAACATATATAGCTGTAATCATAAATGTCACAGGAGAATATCTGATCACAACGGATAATTTGTACATTATAATCTCTTGTTACTGAATCACTCAATTACTGATAGAGCTGAGAAGGCAGAAAGAGCAGAGCAACCTACTGTCATTTTTAACCAGCATATCCTTAACATATTTGCCTTGTCTTCTTCATTTTTTTTTACCTGAAAAGTGCTTAAATAGAGTTGGCAAATCTCAAATTTCCGTTGGAATATTTCATAGCTCACTGAGACCTGTTGACTGATATGGAGGATATGGAATGACAACTTATCAAATTCAATTTTGTATACAATAGTCTCCCAACAGTGAGCTCTAGTGTAGGACATATTGCCTTCTGGTCAAGGAGACCTTGCTTCTTAGACCTGAAATTATTTTCCCTTCTTGTATGTCTCCATGCACCATAGCTGTAATACTGAAATAACAATATGGTATTTCTTAAAAGAACTTCATAACATTTCTGAGAAATCAGCTGTAATACTGAAATAACAATATGATATTTCTTCAAAGAACTTCATAACATTTCTGAGAAATCAAAGCGTGAAGAAATCTTAATTTTGGACTCATTACATAGGTGACTTTTGCATGGTTCCTTACATAGCATAGCACCCCCAAGAAAATCACTTATAGTTTCTACTCCTTGTAGAATCCCATTGCAAAAGGTTTCCAATGAGAAATACAAACCAGGCTGACAGGAGAAGCAGGAGGGAACAGCAGAAAGAGAAACTGTTACTGACTGAAACTTTGAAGATTTCCATAAAAATCACTGTTCTGTTTTTACTGGAGTTCCTGAAAAGTATTTGCTCATATAAATTATTACCCTTGTTGTTACTTTTGACATCAAATCAAAGATGTCAAAGGTGCCACTCCAACCTCTCTAAATAAAATAAATGAGCTTTTGTCTTTGGTTTTTTGGTTTTTTTTTCTCTTAGTTAAGAGATAAGATTTCTCCTAATTAAGTTTAAAATCAGGATAAAAATGGCATGTAAAAGCCTTAATACACATGAAGAGGATTTACATAGGAAAATTATTTTTATTTCATTGTCTTTATTATTCCCCACCAATGAAAAATACATCTGGCAGTTGTCCTTGTTTTGACCAACCAGGAACTACAAGTAAACACCATATCCTGAACATAGATGCATGACTAAATGCTTACTTTGGGTTTTGTGTATGTTTGTGGGATTTCAATGGGGAGTCCAGATGAAACTTGATATTCATGAAGTAAAGAGGATTCAGGAGAGTTACACATACTGCCTGAACTGTCTCATCACACCTCATTAATAGGGAAGCTAAGTTAAGTGTGTGGCATAAAATATTAAATAGCACAGTTAGAACACTGCATTTCAGGAAACTGTTCATTGACTCAAGTACAGTTTTCTTTCATTTTTTTAAAAGCCAATTCTGTAAGCACCAGTCGAATCCTGGGCTGCATTTAAAGGAGTGTGGGCAGCAGGGCAAAAGAGGTGATTCTTCCCCTCTACTCTGCTCTTGTGAGACCCACCTGGACCACTGCAGACAGTTCTGGTGTCCTCAACATAAGGAGGACATGGAACTGCTGGAGCAAGTCCAGAGGAGGCCACAAAGTTGAAAAGAGGACTGGAGCATCTCCACTATGATGCCTTAAGCAACTTGATCTAGTGGGCAGGTGTCCCTGCCCATGGCAGGGCTTGGGACTGGATGATCTGTAAGGCCCATTCCAACCCTTAAATTCTATGATTCTATGCTTCTATATAAGCTTAAATCTTTCAACATTCTTGAAAATGAAACCACCATATCAGAAACAATGCAAAAACCACAGTAGGGTTGGACACAATGATCTTTGAGGTCTTTTCCAACTCAATTGATTCTATGATTCTTTGATCTACAAAATATTATACTCTTGGGTTTTTATGCTCTTTAAAAGAAGTATGACAGAGCATATTTGTTTCTAAAAATTGGATTTTCCATTATTACCATATATTGGTAAGAAGTTGAAACTATCAATGACTGAAGTACTCACAGATGCAGGCTGCAATTTGTCCTGCACGTATTTTGTATTTCTGAGTAACTTTGTGAGTTGAATGGGCTTCTGCATTACTTTTCATTAAAGATCAACACAAACTTGATTAATATTCTTCCAGAAGCTTGTACCATTTAAAGTTGTCAAAGCTCTATGTATGTGGTCGTGACTATGAAACTTAGAAAACGTTAATAAAAAATCAGTTAAGAAAGCAATGAATAGACTGAGTCACTACATCAGGTTAAATAAAATAGTACAAATAAATATAAATAAAATTCTACTTATAGTAAAACACACAAAAATAAGTATAGCATCACTGAACATTTGTTCTGAAAAATTCTAAGCTTACCATAAAAATATAAACTTCTTATAAGAATGAATAATAATTGCATAATATAAAAGCTTCCAACATTTCTTCTAAGCTGACCATAAAACTCAGTGTATTTTCTTGCAGTAGATACACCTGTAAATACTGAGAAGTTTCTGAAAACAGACATTCAATGGCAACTAAATCTCATTTATTTTACTGTTTAAGAAATAGTTCTGTCATAGTAGAATATGATTTTTCTTTGACTTTTAGTATATTCTAAGCAAAGAAACATCAGAACTGTTGACATGTAATAGATTATAAAATCTACAGTTCCCATCAACTCCAAATGACCCAAAAAATGAACAGAAAATGGAGGTAATTTTTACATCTGATTTTCTGATGGAACAGTAAAATAGTCTCTCATGCTCTTTATTCTTTGCCTTTGAGGACATGAGTGTTTCAAACCCTCCAAAATTTCAGATGGTGACAGCTATGGATTTTTCATAGATGTATGTAGTAGAAGAAACAGCTACTTTCTTCCTTCAGCCTTCAACTTCAAGAGAGCCTTAGCTGCATTACTGATCTATCTCTTCATAAATTACCTACTTTAGTTAGATATTGCAATACTAATTAGTAACCCTACAGCACACTTTATGGTGTGAATCAGTTTTAAACAGGGAAGCAAGACTAATCGCTCTGCTTTCCTTGGCAAGTACTGTGGAAAATGGACTATTTTCTGCAAATTTAAAGTAAAGACAGGTTAGTCATAACTGTTAAGTACCTCTGCTTCCCTGCATCACCTATTTGAAAACACTTAATCAAGTTGTCAACTTGGCAAACCATTACTAAGAAAGTAATATATCCTGTTAAAGACAAAAATTACATTATACCAACATAAGGGGCAGATCTCCACCTGTAAATTCCTGGGGAATTGAAATAGTCATATTATAGCCCAGAAAAATGAGATTGTATTCACTTAGCAATGATTAATTTCTAGAATTACCTAAGTATTCAACAGATTATTTTTTCTTTTAAGGTTTCCCATAACAACGTCACCCTATGACCTCTAAGAAAACTTCCAAAATAGGGTTAATTAAGATGAAACCCAAACAACATCTCCAAACACTCTGCAAAAATAACTAATAGTTCCCTCCCTGCAGACCAGCAAATCACTGAATACAGCTCTAACAGACCACTGAGTCCCAACTAGTTATCCAGTGACTCGGTTTCTTGCAGCTTACACAGTTGGCATCTCAGACCACAGATGACAGATCATGTACGAGTAAAAAAGGCTATACTATGTGCCACCAACTGGATCTTATTAAATCAAACTGATGCTTTGATTTTCGAGAGCCAGCTCTTCTTAGCTGTGTAAAAAAAAATTGCAATATTCAGCAACTTACTCAACAATTGTGAAGGTCAAAATTATGGAATGAAAAATCAGCAACCTATGTAATTTCTGAGAAAAAAATCGCTCCTGGAATTTACTTTTGCAACTCCTTTGCCTACCACAACATCCTCCTACCAGAGAGAGGTGAGTTCCTTGCAATCCCTCCTTTTCTAACAGGCCACTTCAAGTTCTCTAGTGGCATTCCATTTTATCCATAAATGATGGATTCTCTTACACTGGATGCTAATCCCAAAGAGTTCTGGCCTAACAACAAGCTGCGAAATGGACTAAGAAGAAATAGAAAAGAGCAGAAATGCACAAGACCTTCAGAAAGCTGCAGAAAATTGGAGGAAGAAATTCAGATAGGTTTTAAGGGGAGAAAAGAGGAGCCTTGCAACAGATCAGAAGCAGTGGAAAATAAAATTTATTAGACACTTGAACACAAATAAAAATGACGATAACATAATAAAGGGAGTTCAAGTGCTGCATGAACTTAAGAGGAGAAGAGCCA